TGACTCACGTTATGCCCTGAAATTTGCACTAACTATTTCAGGAAAAAGAAAACCAGCAAAAATTCCAGGCCATATCATATTTCACCAAGCAATTTAACCGAGTTGCAGAATCAGGCTACTTTCTGGCTCAGGATAATAGAATCAATCACATGGCGGTCTGTCCAGTCCCAGTGTGAGTGCAGTCCTTGGGCTTGGATGGTTCTCACTTTTGTAGAGCCCTGGGCTGGATGGACACCTGGAATGTACACATGGACCTCCCATTCTCCATTCTCTGCAGTCACCTTTCTGCTGCTTGTGCATGTGTCCAGGTATAGGTGGTGAGGATGGGCAAAACAGGTGGGAATCTTCCACTCACACTGGATCAGGTCCATAGCGTGTAATTGATCTTAAAATACCTTCTGGCTTTTGGGAGTAGACTATTCCCCCACCCTCCACTCCCTGAAAGTTGTGTTTTAAATAGAAATTCAACAGATGAAATAATTCCCATCATACAGAGGATATATATTTCTGTTTTGTGTGTAACTGTTAAAGGCTCAGAGCCTCTGGTTTTAGTTGTGTGTGTGTGTGTGTAGCAGTGTTGTTTGTACAGTGTCCTGCAAGGAAGCCCATTAAAAGGTTGGACTCTTTTTCTTTTTTAAAAAAGTGTATGTGTGTAAAGATTTCCAGCTGTCATTGACTGCTTTCTGATCGCTTCCTGCTTTGTGCACTTGACTGAGAGCAGAAACATAGCCTTTGGGGTTGGGAAGGCAGGTGGAATAAATCTGAAGCCATGGCCCACTGAGTAGAATTCAGCACCATACAGCAAGCTCCCGAACTCAATAATGATTGGTCTTCTTCCAGCACAGTCCATGTGTCACCTATGTCCTCATCCATAATTCATCCTTCTTTCCTCTTTAACATCCCGTGCTTCATTGTCCACATTGGCCATCTGCCATTAGGTGGGTTTGCTTTCCATTAGCACTTGGAATTATTCTAATGGGAGAACCCCCTCATTATTTATCTACCCTTACTGTTCCCTCAGCGTGTTGAGCATTAATGTTAGCACATTTAAATGCCTTCCCTTCTATGAGTTTTTAGGACAGGTTTTTTGGTATCCCCTTTTCAGATAGATTTTGTCAATGTGGTTCTGGCATTATTGATACCATCTCACACATAATGGTGGACTGCCCCTTGCTAAAAAGAGAGAGAGTGAGTGGTGGATCCAGAGGATTGTGGTGCACAATAACATCTCACCAGGTTCAGTTTCCCAGACCCTACTCTCAAATGTAAACTATGATTGCACAGCAGCTGAGCTGGCCTCAGCTGGGAGGGTGGGTTAAAAAGGTGAGAAAATAAAGTTTTTGGCTGGTGCTTCTTCTTCTAGGCATAATGGCTTCTTTAGAAGAAGTAAGGCATTATTCTGTGGTTTTGAGTTGTTCAAGACCTTGTGTCCATGAACAAAAATGGGGGGGAGGGAGGAAGGAAGGATGACCTGCCATCTTGGGAAACTTCTCATAAGACTACTGCAAGTCAGTGCTGGGCCATATTTGAAAATGCTGCCTCTAAGCTATTGGTGTGACAGAAAGCCCAATGTTGGCTAGATTTTTAAAAATGTAATTCAGCCAGCTCAGTTTTTTGAACACATGAAGCTGCCTTGGTCCATCAAAGTCAGTATTGTCTGGCAGCAGCTCTCCAGGGTCTTAAGTACAGGTCTTTCACATCGTTTATAACCTGGTCCCTGTATCTGGAGATGTCAGGGATTGAACCTGTGACCTTCAGCATGCCAACAAGATGCTCTAGCACTGAGCCATAGACCCTCCCCTAAAGCAGTTAGGTAAACAAATAATGTAATTTCTCTCTGTATTTAAATCAGAATTTTTAAATTTATTGACTAATTTTTCAGTCTTTCCCCCCTGTTGGTTATAAAGCCCTTGTATCCATTCTGATTGATTATTTTCCATCTAGATAGAAGTTGTGAACTTTTCTAGAATTTAAAGTTCAGTTCCAGCTGATGGGGGAGCATCCTGTTTCTTTGCCTTGGAGTCAACATGTGGCTGACTCAGTACTAAAAAAATGTGAACATAGGATTTCTTACAACCCTATTTGTTTGAACCCTTTTGGCCATAAAAATATTAGGGTCATGCTGTGCATTTTTAGAAGTATTGCTTGGTTTTTACTTTGCCATGTAAACTCTGATTTTCTTAAATAAATCATTTTAGACCATAATACTGTGTCTCATGATGTATTAATTTCCATTTGCTCATGTATTGCTTTGGATAAAAAGATTGGAGCTCTTTGTATAAGGAAAGTTCAAAGCCTCTGCAGAGGTCTATGGATGAATATCCAAAGAGATGAAATTGTACTGAGTGGGTTTTTTTTAAAGAGTTTTTGGTCCCTTTTGGACTGGTGGTGCACAAGGAAGGCAGGAAAAAACCTGGCATAGCTACCTGCCCTCTGCAATTGGTTAATGAGGGACCTGCCACAGTTCAAAGCACTAGGAGAGATCATTTCCAGTTCTAGGAGAGGCAAATATTGTTCATTTATAAAGGTCTTTTTATGTAAGGGGGCTTTAGCCATCTTTGGAACTTATTAGAGAAGGCTAATGAGAATGAAAAGAGTGCTATCAGTCCAATCCTTAGGAGAGTTACTTAGACTGGAATCTAAGCTTTTAGCTTTTAGTGTCTATAGGTAGACTGCCCCATAAGCATTAGAATGATTTTTTGCTCTTTTTTGTCTAGCAAAAGCCAATTTGACTCAATTTGACTCACATGACGTTTGCACATGGATCAAATAGGCCTTGGACTAGTATAATCTTCCCAGGAGCCTCAGCAACAACTTTGTGTCATCTGTATTCAGTAATCACGTAGCAGACATATGAAGAGATGTTGACTGGATTTGGCAGGTGGTTTACTTTACCAAAAGCAACAAAAACAAAGGGAACGGTCCTAACATTCAAGCGCCATCTTGCTAAATGGCAGCCAAATATACAGTCATGAAAAGGCCAACCTGCAGCCAGGGATTTATGAATAGGGTTGCGAAGTCACCAATGGCAAGCCACAAGGGATACCTGCAGTACAAACTACAGGTGTTTACCATAATAAAGCTGCCTCTTTCAGCTTCAGTGTCATGGACCGGTTGGGAAATGTTGTTAAAAACACTTATGCACCCTGTCTCTTGTTCCTACACTCTTACTGAACAATGGATACCAAAGGGTACCCAGCAGGAAGTTGGCCCCACTGCCTAACAAAAACTAACCATGGTGACTGAGGGGAACCTCCACATTCAGAGGCACTAAACTTCTGAATCCCAGACACAGGAGGCAACATCAGGGGAAGGCCTCGGCCTCTATGCCATTGTTGGTCGTCCAGAGGAATTGGTTGGCCACTGTGTGAGACAGGATGCTGGACAAGATGGACCATTGGTCTGATCTAGCAGTGCTCTTCTTATGTTCTTATGATGGTTGGCTACCAAATCCAACCAGCCTCTTGATACCCCTGCCTGTGGCCAATTGTGGTCTTGTAAAAATAGATTCACAACCTGAATAAAGCTTGTTTGTTCCTTTCAGTGTGGTTCTTGATCTTTTAGATGGCATTTCTCTGACATGCTTTCTCTCAGAATTCTCGATGTGCCTCTACAGTCTCTGCAGTTTTGCCGTTTCATACTTTTAGGATTCTTGTTGTGGTTTGCAGAATTTTGTATCCTTATTGCTCTTTCTCCTACCTCCAATATGGCCCTGATGTTTGCAAGATTGAAAAGAACCATACTGTTTGCACTCTAGTTCTACATGTGCTTGTTCTTACCAGGCAGGCTGCAAGTGATGCATGTATCCTCAAATCACAGCATGTCTGTATCTATTCTAATGATAAAGCTTGGTAATATTTGTTCTGCAGAACAATAGTTCTGGGGACTGTGTTCCTTTAACATTTCCAGTCCTGATCCTTTGTTTGGGACACTGATCTTATTAAACCAAGGCAGGTGACTACTCTATCCCTGTAAGAACCCTGTCTTTGTTGTTCCGATTTTTGCATTTTCACTACTTGGACAATTTCATTAGATTAATGCCTGTTCTCCTCCTCTGTGTCTCCTTTTTATTTTTCTCCAAAAGTATTTTGATTTCAGTGTTATGTATTTCAAAACTGCAATCCTTTCAGTGAAGCTGTTTCTGTTTTAGCTGTGTTTGATAGTTTTTTAACCAAATGTTAATGGGCTAATTCTGTGCGTGTGTTTTTAGAATTAACTGGCAGGTAGGTAATACTAGGGAACAGTGGCAATTGCCACATTTTAATAATGCTACCTGTTAGTGATAGGGTTAGTGATCCTCACCTATGAGCACTTGCACAGCTGTGTAATTCTGATTCCAAAGGAGATGGACTAGTTCTCTAGTACTTGATTCATGCCAGTTGTAGAAACATTGGATTGAAAAGAGTCTGGGGAGCTTCCCCATCAACATATGCATACCTGGACAAAATCCCCATCATTTGAGAACTACTATAAGAATCATCTTTGACAGGTTCCTGGACAACTTCTTTGTTGCCTGACCCAAGTCTGATCTTCTGCATTATTAAACTTTTACTTTTTGCACTTCCCCTGGCTTTTATCACATTATTTTCATTTAGGCATTGGGATGACAATTTATTCTTGGTAGCACTTGATATTTGGTGAAGAACTGTAAAAATTTACACTGAGTGCAGGGGATGCTTTGTCCCATGTGAACTTCCTCATGTGTCAGGCATGGTCTGCGTCTCTATTTATGCACTTTGCCTCTGAAAAAAGATCTGCTGGAGTGTGGAACAGGATGTTGTTCCCCTAGAGAGATCCTTCAGCGTTCCACTTTGTCAAGTCTTAACTTGCCTTCAAGAAACCATCTGCTCATAAATGCACAGAAATACCTCCTTCGGTGGTTGTTTTCATTTACTTTAATTTAAAATGAACCAAAAACATGTTAGCGTAAAGCGTGTATATTCAGAACAATATTTGCTGTTGTCTAAGATAACAGTTTCTTGTGTTTTTTTTAAAAACAGGAAACAAAGTTATACAAAAGAAACCCTGATTTTGTGGCTACAAATAAATCTATAAAGCATCCTGAGCCTGATAGGAAATGAAAGGTAAGGATTCTGAAGTTCTTTACTTGAGATATTCAAGGACACTGCGTAGCTGGCAATATATGTTCATTTGGAGACCATTTGTCACTCTCACAATATGTGTATTACTATTTCTGTTGGGCAATATCCAAAATGTTTGCATCCCATTGGTTTTTAATAGGAGTGATTCCCCTTTCAATAGCAGCAATATTGCTGGCTGACAAATATTTTCTTTAGGGTAAAGATGACTAGTAGGACCATTTTTAAATAGGGTTGCCAAATTGATTTTGCCTACCGGTGGGGGAGCCTCGCCTGGCTCCGGGAACTCTCTGTTGATGCGAGCGCGTGCGCGCCGCCAGCACATCACCGGAAGTGACACGTGATGTCGATTAAGTTGAGGGCGTGGCCCCGATCGTCGGAGGGAAAACCATAGAGTTTTCCCTCCGCCGATCGGGGCCACGCCCCCAACGTGATCGATGTGGTTGCATCACCTCTGGTGCCGCAGCCCCGCTACGCTTCGGGGGGCAGAGTTCTCCCCGGGGCCCGATTCTGCGGCTGCGGAAATCGGGCCTCCGAAGCGGGGGTTTACCTGCCCCCCACCCCCACTTGGCAGCCCTATTTTTTAATCATTTTCAGATGACCCTTGCAGCTTCATGTATTTGTTCCAAAACATGCATTTAGAGGGTTTTTTTAAATTGTTGGTTAAGTCCTACTATTTTGACATCCAGAAAATCTAGAAACCTTCTGATAGATGCTTTGTTATCTTACTTCTCATGCAAAGATGAGTCCTAGCTTTGGGGCCATTAGTCTTCTGCCAAAGACTCATCTACAATATTGTTTCAAGGTCCTATGTAGGTTATTTTGCTAGTGTTGTTGAATGTGAAATATAGTATAAGAGTTGCCGTTTAGGCCTTTGTGTCAGTCTGAATGACTGGAAGTTAATTTTCCAGAGTCTGTTCTGTTAGCTGTATTAATAATCTGGTTTCTTTATATAGAAAGCCACAAATCTTGGAAGTTTGGGGACAACTGTGATCTTTTCCGATGTGCTCTGTACTTTGGTGGAAAGTTCAATGTCTGATCTCTCAAACATTTAATAGTGTTTTCCCTCCAGACCTCAAATGGTAATTTCCCCAATTATGGTGAAATCTATGACAAAGCATAATCTGTTCAGAGAGATTAGTTCTCCACTGTTCCCAAATTTATATTATTGTACTAAGATGAGGAGGTTTGTAACAACAGTCCAGTCTTCTGGTCTTTTCCATCAAAATCAGTATGCTTAGTAAAATCTAGTGTGTTTATATTTCAAACAATTTTTCTTCTTTATACATCACCCATTTTATATAATTTTTATTTAAAAAATTTAGTACTTTACTAACAATGAGCACAATGTATCCCAATAAGGACTGCTGAGTGCAGCTTTTGGCATAGGGCAGTGGTTCTGTGGTGGAGCACATGCAGAAGGTCCCAGGTTTGATCCCTGTCAAGTCTAGTGAAAGGATTTCAGGCAATAGTGTTGGGAAGGACCTTTCTCTGCCTGTTACTTTGCAGAGCTGCTGCTAGATGGTAATGAGTGGCAGTGACCAATGGGCTTGGCATAAGGCAATTTCATCTGTTCAGTCTCTTCCACTAAAATCACTGTTAAGTGCTTTGAGTTTTAATTTGGTGGGAAAAAGCAGTACCACGTATTATGCACAAATGCACAAGTTAGGATTTTTAAGATATTCTTTGTATGTTTAAATGGATTACTTTGTTGAAATTCAGAGGTGAAAGAGCCATTGGGGGTTTCAGTCAGTAGATAGGATTTTTTTTGGCTACACACACAAACACACACTAGGGTTGCCAGGTCCCCCCTTGCCTTCTGCAGGGGATGGGGGGGGTAGCATTGCTAGATCCAGGTGCGGAAACTCCTGGAGATTTGGGGGTGGAACCTAGGGAGGACAGGGACCTCATTGGGTACAGTGCCATAGAATCCTTCCTCCCAAGCATCCATTTTTTTCCCTGGGGAACTGATCTATGTAGTCTGGAGATTGGCTGCAATTCCAGGGGATCCCAAGGCCATTCCTGGAAGTTGGCATCCTTAACACAGAGATGTGCATGCACATGTTGTTAAAGATCAACACAGTACAAACTGCTTACATATGTGTAGCATGACAAAAGGAGCTGATGCTGGGCCTAGGAAAGTATCTTAATTATGGAGGGTACCCAGTGTCCTTGGTGGTTGCATTTATTCAGCCAGCTGCTAATAAGTGTTTGTATCAAAATAAATTTTGAGTCAGAAATAATATATTTCTAAAAAGCCATTTAAGTATTCGTTTTGCATGCCCGATACCCTAACAGCATCTAAATGTAATAACAGCCAAACTCACTAACTCATTGCCAGAACTACAGAACTGTTTGACCTACTTTTGGGTGTCACTGGTCCTTGCAGACTTTGCTTCCTAAATTTCAATAATATATGACTAATCAGGCCTGTACCTCACTCTGCTGTTTTTATTTCACATGCTTTGTTATCATGTGCTAGGTTGGAATATACCCTTTAAGTATGCTGCTGAAACTCTATACTCTGGCAGAGAACTTGGATTCTTGAGAATATTAGCTTTTATTTGTTTTAGATAGAAAGGAGTTTCTAGTCCTCATGATTAATGAGAGCACTAGAAAATGCAGGCAGTGTCAAAATGCAACTTCAAAATAAAAGCATGAGACCGATTCTTCCGGTCTGGGATTTGTGGTGTTTACTACACAGCTCTTTTATCCATGTACTCCCTTCCCTACGGCTCTTCTCATCCACATCTTTCCACTTACTTATTATCTCAGTTATAATGACCTCACAAGGTTATTGTGACAGTAAATGGGATAATCCTATCTATGTTTAAAATAATAATTAACCTCATTGTTGAATTCATAATAAATACTTGAAATTAATGCACTTATGGTTAGCTGTCACTTGAAAGTAAATTCCTCTGAAACTGTTGGGCTTACTTTTTATTTTTTTATTTTTATTTATTTTGGATTTATATCCCACCCTTCCAAACGGCTCAGGGCAGCTAACATACGGCTAGTGCCAGGTTAAATAGGTAAAATACAATAAAACAGCATTAAACATCCACAATAAAATCCCATAGACAATATTTAAGGTGCTCTGATGTTATCCTATATATAGATCCCCAAGATGGGCAGTAATCCCAATTGGGCGGCCATCTTAATTAAGTAGCGAGGACTCCAGCGATGATGTTCTACTCGCTTCCGCCAGGTGACTCATACCCCCCATAGTAGGGGTAGATGGTAGAACAGTACCACGGTGGTGGAATAGTGGCAGCAGCGGCTCCTACTCAAAAGCCTGGCGGAAGAGCTCCGTCTTGCAGGCCCTGCGGAACTGCACAAGGTCCCACAGGGCCCGGGAGCTTGTTCCACCAGGTAGGAGCCGCCACTGAAAACGCCCTGGCCCTAGTAGGGACGAACTTAACATCTCTGGGGCCAGGAATTTCCAGGAGGTGGAGACTCCCCGATCGTAGTGCTGTTGAGGGAACATACGGGGAGAGGCGGTCCCTTAGGTAAGCTGGACCCCGGCCATTCAGGGCTTTAAAGGTAAGAACCAGCACTTCGAAGCGAATCCGGTATACTATCAGCAGCCAGTGCAGCGCTTGCAGCACAGGCCAGATGTGATCTCGCCTAGAGAGGCCCATCAACAGCCTGGCTGCAGCATTCTGCACTAGCTGCAGCTTCTGGATTTGCGACAAAGGCAGCCCCAAGTAGAGAGCGTTACAGTAGTCTAACCTCGAGGTGACCGTCGCATGGATCACAGTGGCCAGGTCCTCACAGTCAAGGTGGGGGACCAACTGCCAAGCCAGCCACAGGTGGTAAAAGGCTGACTTGGCAGTGGCTGCCACCTGGGCCTCCATCGTTAACGAGGAGTCCAGGAGCACGGCCAAACTCCTAACCTCCCGCGCAGGCACCAAAGGCACCCCGTTGAAGGCCGGGAGAGGGAGCCCAAGCCCTGGACCGGTCCGACTCAGGCCCAGGACCTCCGTCTTTGCCGGGTTTAATTTCCACCGACTCAGTCTGAGCCAACCAGCCACAGCTTGTAATGCCCGATAGAGGTCATCGGGACCGGAGTCTGACTGGCCGCCCAACATCAGATAGAGCTGGGTATCATCAGCATATTGATGACACCCAAGCCCACACCTCCGGGCAATCTGGGCAAGGGGGCGCATATAGATGTTAAACAACATCGGGGACAACAGAGTTCCCTGGGGCACCCCACATTCAAGGGGGTGCCTTTGGGACTGCTGGTCCCCAATCGCCACCCTCTGTCCCTGACCTTGGAGAAAAGAGGTAAGTGTTTGAATTTGGAATAGCAGTCAGATATATAATTTCAGTGTATAATAATTTGGATGTCAGTATATAATATTCTGGAAAAGGCTGCCTGTGGTCAAGCGACAGAAATAGCTATTGTTCAGTTTCTTTTGAGGAGTTGTAATTGCATTTTTCTGGTGCAAAGGAGTCTACCCAACAAAACCTTTGACACTTCATGGTCTTCTTTCAGACTCAAAAGATCATCAGTATGTGGAAATGTCAACGACTGGACTGTGAAATACTTTATACTGGGTATAAAAGGCAATGCTAATAGTTTCAAATGCTATGATGCTGCCTCCTAAGAAGCTGGGGGCATGAAGGTTAAGCGTTTGTTGGGTATACTAAAGAGGAAAAAAAGGTTTACAAACATGCAGAATTGTTGGTGCATTAGGAAACCAAATTCAGCAGACCTTTCAGATTTGGATTTAGCAATCCTAATTAATATCTCTATAGCAGAGGTCCCCAACCTTTTTGAGCCTGTGACAGGCTTCCCAAGTACTTACTGTGATTCGGCGGGGGACACAGACGTCCTTGCAGGATCATTCCTGCGGGGACAACAGAAGCGCCACACCATGCTGTCACCAGGAAGTGATGCCAGGCGACGGCTCTGGCAATGGGGCTGGAAACTCAATGGTACCATCGAGTTTCCAGCCCCATTGCCAGAGCGTCGC